TAATCCTTGTGCTTGTTATGACAACCCTGCGAATGAGTAGACAGAACATAAGTATTAAATTATAAACATTACAAATCAGTAATTTATAAACTAAATTAATTGAAATTCACTAACCAACAATCAAACTTAAAATAAATAGGTAGTTGTTGGGTAACCTGAGTTTATACGGCTATAAACTTAGCCATAATAAAAGTAAAATAAATCTCAGAATTCTAATTAAAAAAAAATATTGGTCAACATACATAACCATAGAATTAAGTAATAATATACCTAGACATTTGAAGCTTTCATATAGCTTGCTTGACTCCTTCAAAGAAAGGAAATGTATATTGGATTGAAAGCTCTAAATAACTATTCAAAATATCTTAAATTGTCTTATTTCAATATTTGTATCATTTTATAGGTGTAGAATCCAAGTTGTTGTTAGTGAAGTCTGACCACATTTATTTTTTGTAGACTCTGCATTGTATATTAAGTAACATTTTTCACATGGACTTTTGATGTTTATACTCTTTTAAATTGACGTGTTTACATTATTTGCACACTTTAAATTATTTATTTTTCATAGATTTTTTTTACATGAAATTTTGTCAGGCTCTTAGGAATAAAAATTAATTCACTTGTAACTTAAAAATAAAATTCTAGGAATAAATAACATAAAAAGATAATAGTCCTAAGAAATTAAACTCGAGACCGCTCGAGGTCTCATGCATATTTTCATATTTATATCATTGTTTTATATACTTCCCCATTAGGGGGTAAAGTTCAGATAATCCGACATATGAAGATGAGGTGTCAAACCTCGTGAAGCCTAATCCTCTTAAAAGTTATATTTTTGCCTTTTAAAAAAAATTCAAACATGCATTTATGATTTATGATGCTTAAATAAACATTCATCATATTAGAAATAAACTAAAAATAATTAAAATTTAATTGCATTAGTTCTAGAAACAAAATATCATTCATAAGTATAGGGCCATTTAGAATTTTCTCTAGATGTCGGGCTTATATTTTAAAAATTTAAATCACAGTTTACACATTTTTTTCATAAAGACAAGATAACAGTTGATTTAGCTGTCTTTCCACTCCAAGCAGATGTAATTCCAAAAATTCATACACTACACTTAGAATAGGTTCGGGCTATTATTGTGTACTGCCTAAGTTAGATTCAAGTTATGAGGCAGACCAAAAATCATAAATCCTCGTCCTCTAGGAATGTAATCCCAAATATCTAATAAAATACCAACTCAAATATAAAATCTTATCTCTAAAATACTAAAGCATAACCTAGGATAGATTGGAGTACTTATAGGGTTCGTAAATCTTAATGTGCTCCACACTCTTCAATCCTTTAGCTTCCAAAAAGAATTATTCCAAATTTATCCAATCCCCTTTAAAAATTCTTCACCTCGCATTCTTATCTTAATCGTTAAAACCTAAAAGAAAATATTTGTCACTATTTTAATCGTTAATATTCTTAGGATATTTAATTCTCCTAATATGTGATTAACCCTAAAGGCTTACCTTTATTGGGAACCAATAACTACATATTAAAATAAATCCTATCTCATATTCATAAGATAAAGAGATAATTTTCTAAAAATATAGACATTTAAAAAAAAATCATTTTGGTATTCAAATTACTTTATAGAATATAATTTTCACCTCATTTGATATTTGATGACAAAAATGGAGAAATATCAAAATCTCATTCTTATCTTAAATAATATTGTAGAATGATATTTTTATCTTTCGAGATGATAAGTTATTTCTTTAATTCTATTTGATTATGAAAGTGAATAATTTTTAAAACCTTATTTTTTTTATTTGAATCCATTATAGAATAATTTATATATCTTTCAAGATAGAATTTTATTCTTAATATTATTTCAATCGTAATAATAGGAGCATCTCGAATCTGCATAGACTTTAAGCAAACATTTTATTTTTCCCACACTACTATCCTTCTCCAGCATTATGCCAATACATTGGCTGAAGTTAGATCTCTTCCTGATTACCGACTATCATTGGACTTTTGCCCATTCGTTAGTCACCCATATCTCTTCCCAACCAATGATTGTCACTGAACTTCCGCTAGTTCGTTGGCCATCGCTAGATCTATTCACAATCGATCATCGTCGAACTTCCTCATGTTTGTTGGCCACCAATGGATCTCTTTCTGACCACTAACTATCTAAATACTACAACCTATGTGTTGGTTGTCGTCAGATCTCTTATTATTTACTGACCGTCCCCTGAATTCTGCCCATTTATTGACCGCCATTGGATTTCTTCCCAACCACGAACTGTCGTTGGACATCTGCCCATTTATTAGCTACTGTCAGATCTCATCTCGACCACTAAGCATTACTGGACTTTTCTCCTGTCTTATGAGTATCACCGGATCTACAACCATCCCCATATCTCTTATCACAACCCAACCCGACAAAACCCATTGATGAGATAGGTCATTTCATGTTAAGCAGTGACAAACAAATTTCAAGATATAGTTTTAGAAATATTTCAAAAAAATTCTTGCAATTAAACTTTGAAATAAACTATAGCCTGCATAACTACTAAAAATATCCAAAACACGAAGAATAATTTGATCAACAAAATTATGATCATATCATCAAAATTAAAATGAATATAAAATAATAGAATATAATTGTGCAAAAATCAAAATAAGAGAAATACCCGAGGACTAAAATCAAAACTACTAATCCATAAGCTCCTCCTCTTTCTCAGATCCTGAAACTAGAAGCAAAACTACAATGAACTAAACGAACTCAATCACAAACACCAATTTAAATCTCCAAAAACATTCTTTTATTAAACATTTTCAGAATATTTAAAAGCAATTCAATGTAGTATAATAAATTTCTAAGCTGAGCATAATGATTAATAAGTAGCAGTTATCCAAAGTTCAAATAAAAATACTAAGCAGTTAAATACAACAAAATCAAATCACAAAATTTAGATTTTTGTTGCCTACTGTTATAAAAAAATAGTGAAACTAAAGCACAATAGTATCTATGGTATGATAAAGGCGATTTATGATTTGAACTTATAATGACGCGTGAAATAATTTTTAACTGTTGTAAGTGAAAAAAAAAATTAAAAAAAATTTGAAGGTTACTACACCTCTACTGAACATTCTCCAGATTATTGCCATCATATTTCTACAATCTATCATTCATTCAAGATTAAGAGTACCCATCTGAAATTTAATATGTTTTTCTAATCTATTGTATTATTACTTTCTTTGAGTTAAAGCGCAGGTCAACCTTTGTAATATGTTCAATCACTGTTGGAAGCATTTCAACATGCCTCGTGATTTGTCCCTTTTCAGGGTTTTCTATGTAAAAATCTTGATGCCTCTTACGACTCTTGTAACTCTTCCTTTTTTTTTGTGATGGATCTCTGTGCAAATTTAGGACAACTCTATCTCTCTATAGCTGTGAATGTTCTAGGATGCAACAAAACTAATGTTTGATTTTTCGTGAGGGGATTATGGAAATTGGAAAAAAAGTGTCTACAGATCGACGATTAAATCTTAACCTAAGAATGGAGCTTGATTTTTTGTTATAGAGATTACAAAAGTATGATGTCCACAAACAGACAATTGAAATACAATTATAGTGTTAAATCTTGACAAGTGTCTGAAGATGACGGTGACTATCGATGGTGAAGGTGATTGTCGGTGGCAATTATTAATGTCAATCACTAATGATAGTCAGCAATGGCTAGAAAATGCATGAGAATTCTCTAGTTCTCTCCTTTCTCCCTCCCCTTTACGTTGAGAATGAAGTTCTATTTATAAATTTTTTGGGATGAACATTTTAGTAATTCAAATTACAATCCAAAATACTCCATCTTATGGTTCATATTTAGTTTCTTGATTATATTTTTTTTTCAACATTTAGGTGACTACTACTTGGATTCATCCTGTCGAGTTGCTCGATTTGATTATAAGCATGTCAAATTTGAAGTTCAGATGATCATGATTTTAATTTCAAAAAATTGTCTCAAGATTCACATAAATTATATGAATTTTCAGGAGTCATATCAATCATATTATGGAACAAATTCCTCCTTCACATAAACCAATGGTATTTGAAAATTTAGCTATCTCCAAGCTAGTTTTCATATCCATATCATTAAAATTGATTTTTAACAATCAATATTTTTTTTTTGGATATCATAGGTTCATTTTAAAAATATAAACATAATTTAATATAATTTAAAGGTGAATTTTGATAAAATTTTAGGTGTATAATCCTTAAACTCAAATTAAATAGTGAACAAAGCTATCTAAGGCTTAATTTGAGATAGCTTTTGATCACAATTTTTTGCTGTTTTAAAAAAATTATGCTAGAGAGCTATTATAAAAAACAACAATAAAGTTGTTCCAAACAAAGAAGTGAAGCAGGTTTTTTAATATATTCTAAAATTAATTTTTAGTGTAAAAATTTCTAATTTAAAAAAAATTTGTAAAAAAATTGATTTAAAAAATATGGAATTAAAGAATCATGACGAACGCTTAAGAACAAATTAAGATGTATGCCATATGGTAGTTTATGACAAAGTCGGGAAAAAAAATCCATATTTTGCGTAAGAAATTAAAATCATAGGCGACAATTGTCAGCCTTATTATTAGCTCTCACACTTAGAACTAAACAAACAATAACTTCTAAACTTCTTGATTGGTTCTAAGCATCAAATCGTTCCTTGCTCTCCACGTCACCGCTATCAGCAAATCCACTGACTGAAAGCCACGTGTCATTGAACCATTTTGAACCGCTGGATGTTACACGTAGATTGATCAAACCATTCGGGATCGTTTCTCAATTCTCCACGTCACACCAGCGAGAAAATCCACTTAAAAAATGCCACGTGTCGCTCCAGCAATAGGAACCGTCAGATGTTCCACGCAGGATAGATCAAACCATTTTTCAGGGTGAGATTCATAGCCAAGTCGTCGTTGGAGTCGTTCTGTTCGAAGATCGGGCGGCGTATTTAGATCTCAAGCGAGAGTCACCTTCCAAAATTGCAGCGAGTCTTCTGAATTGATCGGTCTCCGGTAAGCGCAATGAGGAAATGGATGATCCCTTCCGCTCTCCTACTACTCATCATTTTCTCTACCCTTCCCGATCAAGGTAAGTTATGGCGATTTAGGGTTTGGTTTTAGGGTTTATATGACTCAGCTTATGCAGTCATTGCTGCTGTCGCTTCAGTTTTTTTTTAATTGATCACTAATTATTTCCAAGGAGTTGGAACTGAATTCACTTGTTTTCTTTCGGATCTTGCAGGTCGTAAGCTTCAAGCGAATGCAGAAGACAGTGGCGATGCAGATGAGCTCGAGAGTCCGCCGAAGGTGGAGGAGAAGCTCAGAGCTGTACCTAGCGGAGTGTCCACCGACTCTGATGTCACCAAGAGGTATAAAATTGGAAGATTAATTTTGTTTGCGTTGTTTTCAACATGTCAGATCGGTTTAGAGTAGTCAGTGTATTAGGGTAGGACTGAAAGATGATAATTCGTTCCCCTTTTTCTCGTTAAATGTACAGAGAGGCGGAGTCGATCGCGCAGAACTCTCTGCGTAGTAGCTCGGAGAAGTTTGAGTTCCAGGCTGAAGTGTCGCGGTTGATGGATATAATCATCAACTCTCTATACAGCAACAAAGATATCTTCTTGAGGGAGCTCATCTCTAATGCCTCTGACGTGAGTAGATGGCTCTTATTTTAGCATTGTTAAGGTACATAGGAATTTATGGTTTTGTCAAGATTATTTGACTTATTTGCTTTTGAAAATAGGCATTGGACAAGATCAGGTTCCTTTCGCTCACTGATAAAGAGGTCCTAGGGGAAGGCGACAATGCAAAACTTGAGATTCTGGTTAGTGAACTGTGCTACTGTAAAGCTGAATAATTGGTTTAAATGAAGTGCTTTAATGGTAATAAATGTTTTTTATTGTGCATTATAGATTAAGTTGGACAAGGAGAAGAAGATTCTTTCTATCCGGGACAGAGGTATTGGTATGACAAAAGAAGATTTAATTAAAAACTTGGGAACCATAGCCAAATCTGGAACCTCAGGTATTACCTACTGGATTAGTGGGCCATTAGTAGTTTATATGACGCAGGTGAGGGCATGTTTGTAATGGCTGTTGTTTTTCATTGGTTGCAGCTTTTGTTGAGAAGATGCAGGCGAGTGGTGATTTGAATCTCATTGGCCAGTTTGGCGTTGGGTTTTATTCTGTATATTTAGTAGCTGACTATGTTGAGGTCATTAGCAAGCATAACGATGACAAGCAGTAAGAATTTTGTTCTCTTTGATGTATCAATTTAATCCATAGGGTACGGTTCATCTCTCTTTCTTTTTTAAATTGATGATCCTGTTATTCTATTTCGCTCTCCAGATATGTCTGGGAATCTAAAGCTGATGGCTCATTTGGCATCTCTGAAGACACATGGAACGAGCCTTTGGGCCGCGGAACTGAAATCCGCCTGCATCTTAGAAATGAAGCCAAGGAGTATCTAGATGACAATAAGTTGAAGGTGAGCATAACCCATCTTAAATTTGAAACCAGCTTCCCTAATTTACTTGTTGAAGTTGCTTACAACTACTGGTGTAGTAGTCAATCAATATTATATTATATAAAAAAAAAATCTTTCGGTGATCTTTGTGGTAATCTTTCTAGCCTTACCACACCTTAGTAAAGAGTACTTTTAAGTTTTCTTTGCATTAGATTGACATAGGAGTGGAAAATATCTAATATTTATATGTTGTGGGGAAAGAGAGACTAATTTATGGTGAAGATTTTAGTGACTATGAGTTTGGAGCAATTAAAACCATATTAGATTTTACTCTAGCTTATGATTTTGTAATTGCTAATACTTTATTTAAAAAAAGAGTTGAGCGTCTCTTCACTAGTAAGAATTGATATAGTAAAACTCGGATTGATTATTTTCTTATATGAAAAATAGATTGTTTAGAGTGCAATGATTGTAAAATTATTCCGTGTGAAAGTTTATGTACGTAGCATTGTTTATTAGTTTTAGACTTTAAGGTGAATGAGTTGAATATGAAATAAAGTAAATGGTTATTTTAGGAATAGAGAGAAGCATTTAAATAAGACTAATAATTTTTTTTGGAGTAAAATTCAAGATCTTAAGATTTTGTCTGTGCACGAGGAAGTTAATGCTATATGGGCAAAAATAGCTAGTGATATTAAAAATGTTATAAATGATGTATTTGAAGTATAAAAAAAGTTGTTAATAGTAAAAAAATAATTGATGGTGGAATCAAAATATGTAAGAAAAGGCAATAAAAATAAAAAACTTTGTTATAAAAATTGGTTTAGACATAAAAGTTTGAAAAATTAGAAAATATATAAAGAAGCCCGTAATGAGTCTAAGAAAGTAATATGCGATGCAAAGAATTTAATTTTTAAGGATTTATATAATATATTAGATATTAAGGATGACTAAAGATATATGTATAATTTAGCCAAATGGAAAGATAGAAAAAATAAGTGTTTAGTTCAAGTAAAGTGCATTAAAGATGAAGATAAATTTTCTTTTTAGAAAAGGATATTCAACGAAGGTGGATGAAATATTTTGATAAGCTTTTCATTGAAGATTGTGAGAATATGATTGACTTTATTGACCTTAGCACCCTAAATGAAATTAGAGAATTTTGTTTTTATTGACTTGTTAGTAAAATTGAAGTTACAATTCTTAAAGAAAATGAAGTGTAAAAAAGCTGATGGAGATGATGATATTCAATAGAAGGGTGGAAATGCTTAGTTACTTTTTGGTCTATTCCTTGCCAAGTTACTTTTTGGTCTATTCCTTTATTCATTATACTTCTTCTTTAGTTCTCTTTTTCATCTTATTAGTGCTTCTTCTATTCTACGACTAGCTCAATCCATAAGTAATTTCTACAAACTTATATTTAATAATGGCCACTCGCCACTCTTCTCTATTTTTTGATATATGTACTTCCCACTATATTTTTCCTAGTTTTGCTTCAATTCATTTTAACTTTCTTATTTTTGTCACACTCAATTTGATTATGCAGAATTTGTTTATTTTCCAACAATTGGATCTATATAGTATTATTGATTCGATTCTAGTTTTATAAAATGTATGTCTTTTAAGTTACTTTCATATTATATAATAGTTTGGAATTTTTAAGACACCTGTATTTTAATTATTTTAAGCATCTATGTATGATCATTCCATAGTAAAATTTCATGCTTAATGATAATAATTTTGATCATTGAGTGGCTCATCTCATCTTTTATGCCAACCCGAAGGATGTTATGCTTGTGAACAAACAATTTCATGAATCTCTGCCTCCCATTGTTTCTGTCTGTATCCCTACTTATTGTCGGACTCTTGTTTTTTTCTGGAAATTCATGCTCTTTATTAATTAGTACGCATGCAGAAGGTATAAATCTTGCTTCATTACAATTTTTTTTCAATCTTTAATTTGAAATTGTGATGGGAACCTTCGATTTTAGTTCTAACTTGTCAACTTTGTTGAGCTTACTATTGAGAAGTTAATTAAGTTAAAATTATCTGACTTTCTAAGGAGGAATGCTCCTTTACCCAAAGGTCCTTTAGGCGGTCATTCAAGTTCTCACTATGCTTTTTTAAATAATAATTGCAGCAGCACTGTCTCTGAAGTGGTTCAAGGTGCAATATTTAACTTCATTGCATCTCTTTTTTACTCCTTCCATAATGACCTATAATTTTTGTTCTATCTGTTGTAAAATGAATTGTTTTGCGAAGATAACGCTTGACTAGGCTTGATTGTTAAGGTTGATCGGGGGATTTAATTACTTTTGTGCCTGCATCTAGACCTATATTGCATACAATTCCATTGATTTTAGAATAAAAGATATTTAATAAATTAGAATTAAATTAAAAAAGTTAGATTGGTGAGTTTTGCAATAGAATCTCCTCTTTTGTAGACATCCTTGAAATTGCCTTGTGCGATGTTTGGGTGTTCCCTTTTTCTCATTGAGGGACATCAACTCAAACGATGATCTGCCATACTTATACTTGGAATATAAAAAGAGTAGCCTAAATACATGCCTCTTTGTGTCTAAAGCATTTCATAATGAATTTTCTTAATGGATTATTTTATTTTTTTCTAAACTATACTAATAATGAACTTGTGTATTACTGCTCATTCTTTTAGAATTTCTTCGCAATCCATAAGTGGATACTTCATTGTTTAATATCTTAACATTTAAAAAAGCTTGAATCAAACATCCACCTTTTTTGGTTATATATATATATATAAACTGTTTGCTTTATTCTTTTATTAGATTTTAATTTAAATCATTTTATGTTTAAATTTGTTAAAAAACTGTGATAAATTTTATGGTTAGCAACTGCTAGATTGGATTTTTTGATAAACTTAGGGTTGTAGTCACTTTTGAACAATACCAAAGAAGATTCAGCACTCTTTTATTAATGAATACCTGAATAGCCTTGGTATGGTTAAAAAAATGTCAGTCATAAACGTGAAGGGTCTACTTTTTCTCTTGTGAGGTGCGAGGTATATCAAGTTTTCCATCTTAGAGACAGCTAATGCTGAAACTTTGATATTGATTAATCTCCAAGCTAGTGATTGGGCTCCTTTTTAGCACATGTAATTGCTTTTTGCTAACCAAATTCGATATGGTCTATTTATTGGAGACTTATGTATAGGTTGTCTCCATTGTGATTAGGGGTCATGCATTTGATTCAGGATTACAATCTTTTTATCGGGGGCCAATATTGTGGCACGGCATTTACCTATATTATCATAGCATTAGAGTAGACGATAGGTTTTTTTTCCGTTATGTTCAGATTGCACTGTATATGTGCATTCAAACATTGGACTTTGGCCGTATTGTCAAGTTGTCATTGTTCGAGTCTATTATGTGAACTTGGATCAATGCAATTTGCACTACCTAACAAAATTAGTTCTAATTTATCCATGTGAAGTTTGCTTTCATCTGAGTAAAATTAAGTAATGAACTCACTCCGTTAACTGGTTTTGCACTTCTCTCTCACGCATAGATGCCCGTGCCCCCACACACTCATACTCAAAGCACATACGTACTCACACCGTATGACTTTTGATTTTGGCATCAGTATGGTCGATGATTACAAAATGTAATGGGCAGAGAAAAAGCCTGAATGGCTAATAATCATTTATAACCCATAAACAGTTGCATGAAAGTCCTAATTTGGGATTGAATGAATTTTAGTTATTTTTTTAACTCAAAATGCTTGAGCAAAATGATTAAATAAATAAAATAAAATTATGCGTTAAATTCAATCATCTCTAGTTTTTGTTTAGAATGAAGAGGATTGCTATAAAGTTGTTTCAAACTATGTTACTGGATCATTTGTATTGCCTATTGGATGCAATTTATCTTTGTAAAATAGTTTTTCTTTGAGTTTGTGTGGTTCGAAGCTGAAAGTTAAGAAAAAAATGCAGTGAAATGCGATGGCAAAGGACGTGATAAAATTGGAAGAAAGTTGATAACTCTATTATTTTGTTTTTTCTTTCCTCTTACACCATTCTTTTTTGCCTCATATAACCACTTGTCCCTACGATTTCTTACAAAATTGTTATGATAATCACCATCTCTTACATTCCATGAAAGTTTTTTCTTTAAATGATGGCAATCTAATTGGTTTTCATGGCTGCTTCAATTCATAGTTCCCTTGACAATTGTATAGTTGATGATAAGAAACACGGCTGTCCTGGATACCTTCTAATTAGCTTTAAATATTTTACTTCTAGTTCTTCACCTCACATCTCTCAAATCTTATTTTAGGAGTTGGTCAAGAAGTATTCTGAGTTTATCAACTTCCCAATTTATCTCTGGGCAAGCAAAGAGGTGGATGTGGAAGTTCCTTCTGATGAAGAGGAGTCTAGCGATGAAGAAGAATCATGTACGTGGTTTTATTATCTGACCTTAGATTTTCTTGTTTAATTTTGACGTAATTTCAAAATTTTTTGTTTAACTTTTGTTTATATTTCGTCTCCCATTTTGGTGCATCTTTTTTATCTTATTATTGGTCAATACAGCTGAAACATCCACTTCAGAAGGAGAAACAGAGGAGGATGAAGCTGAGTCAAAGCCAAAGAAAAAGACTGTTAAGGAGACCACTTATGAGTGGGAGCTTCTGAATGATATGAAGGCAATTTGGCTCCGGAGTCCAAAGGAGGTTACTGAAGAAGAATACACAAAATTCTACCATTCGATCTCAAAGGTTAGATTGAATAACCTGGCCAATAAAGAATATGTTATGCATCTCATTAAATGTTCACCTTTATTATCATTATTTTATTTTTTCAGGATTTCGGCGATGAAAAACCTTTAGCTTGGACTCACTTTGTCGCTGAAGGTGATGTAGAATTTAAGGCATTGCTTTTTGTTCCTCACAAGGCGCCCAGTGATCTCTATGAGAGCTATTATAATACCAAAAAGTCCAATCTGAAGCTTTATGTTAGGAGAGTGTTCATTTCTGATGAATTTGATGAGCTTCTTCCCAAGTTTCTCAACTTCTTGATGGTAAATACAACATTCTTTTGATTAGTGTTAGCTTAGGTGATTCATCTTAGCTGGCTGGTTACTTGATTCATTTGGAATTAAAAAACTCTTATAAATGGTTATTTGTAGGGTTTGGTTGATTCCGACACCCTCCCACTTAACGTATCACGAGAGATGCTTCAACAACATAGCAGTCTGAAGACGATTAAGAAGAAATTAATACGCAAGGCTCTTGATATGATTCGGCGAATTGCTGATGAAGACCCTGATGAATATTCTAATAGAAATAAGACAGGTATATGTTTTGCCAGTTTCAGGTTCTTCGCTTTTTATTTTGATAGGCCTCATTAGTTATTAATTTGTGAATTCTCTGAAAATTTTGATGCAGATAATTCAAATGAGAATGAAGAGAAGAAGGGGCAGTATACAAAATTCTGGAATGAATTTGGCAAATCTATAAAGCTCGGCATCATTGAAGATGCACAAAACAGAAATCGTCTTGCTAAGCTTCTTAGGTTTGAGAGGTAAGCCTTTTGTTTTTGGTGCTTATATTTTTATTTAGATTGTTTTTTACCCTGTTTTCCTGAAGTCTGACCAGTGATCTAGTGATATGAAGTTAGTGAAACAACATGATTTTTATTCTGTGCTTCGCTTGGATTTCAGCACAAAGTCAGAAGGGAAGCTTACTTCGCTGGATGAGTACATTTCTAGAATGAAAACTGGACAGAAGGACATTTTCTATATTACTGGAACCAGTAAAGAGCAGTTGGAGAAATCTCCATTCCTTGAGAGGCTCACAAAGAAGAACTACGAGGTAATTATGGTCTCAAGTACTATCTATTAATTTATATAAAATTAGAAGGTTAAATGACCTGTCTCTTTTTATGTTTTTTGTTGTTAAAAGGTGTTTTGATTTTTTTTTTTGTTTTCATGGATCTAAACATGGAATGCACGTGTGGTCTCTCATTCATACCCAAATAAACTATGAGAGCAAAGGTACCAGGAATTTAGAGTACTAGCCTTAGTAGCCTATATAAAATATAAAGCAAATTTTGATCGCTTCCTGTAGGACTGATACCTTTTGTAAATTAGCTATGCTATACAATGAAGAAAGTTTGAAGTTGCGGCAGATGAGCTATTCAGACATTATTCATGCGGTTTGTGTAGTCGTATTGCCCATTGATTTGTTCTCAAACGTCTTTCCCTCTCTCTCTCTCTCTCTTTCTCACACTTTCTCTCTCTTTCTCTTTTTTCTAACTGCCCGTTCAAACACACTAGTTTCAGCAGCATAGAAGATTCTTGCTGGTCATCCTTAAAAAAAATATTGACCTATGTCTCCATCCCCTGTCATTCCTACCGATGCTGGTTGGCTCGTTGGGTAGGAGAGGATGGATGTCAATATATGACCATCAGCCATTGCCTGTTTTTTTTGTATCTCTTTATTTCCTCTTTCTCTCGTAACCCAATTCCGCTTGGATTATATAATGTTCTCATCGTCTTCGTTGAGCTCGTCTCATTTTCTCATTTCTCTCGTCACCCAATTCCGCTTGGATTATATAATGTTCTCTTTCTCTTCTTTAAACATGTATAAGTTGGCCTGAGAAAGGAGGGGGCGTTGTTTATCTGCTTCTCACACAAACCCCACTCTCTCTCTCTCTCTCTCTCTCTCACTCACTCACTCACAAACAAAGCCCAACATATGTGATGAAGACAATCCCACCCATGTCATGAGGCAGGTTTTGGTAGATGCCCGAAAACCCTCTCTTTCTTTTCTCTTGTCTAGGGTGGGTCCAACTCATCCAAGGGATAGCTTCTGCCAATCCTGACGCCTCTTCTGTCCACCCCCTCTCTTTTTCAAGCTGTCATCTTTTTGGAGTATTTTGCCCGTGAACAATTCTTGGCCCCATTTTAGATCAACGGAGGTGTCAAGATGAAAAATCAATCTTTTGCTGTCATGGAACCATAGAATCCTGAAGATTGGAAATTTCCATGAGATGCTAGCTATCATGGGACTTTTCAGAAACAAATCACGTATATTTAAAGAAACTTAAAATTGAAGGTTCCAATTACAATTCCCGTTTATTTTATTTTATTAATTTTTGTTTTTTCTCTTTTACTTGAGGATTCTGTTGCGCTTAGGTCATCTTTGCATTGCCATGTGGATCTTTTGCTTTTATCATTGAAGACAAGAGCTTTTATCATGTATGGAGACCGGACGGGAGAACCGTCCGGTTAAGCACTGAGTACTTAGTGATATCCTGCGGTACCAAGTGCCGGTACTGAGCTTGGCACCCACCAATAAGGTGATGTGGCGCATTTTTATTGGTCTCCGGACACCCTCCGCACTCCGCACAGAATAATTTTTCTGATGACAGATCCCTTTATCCATGGAAGACAAATTTATCTATTTTCACGGACTTGTTCATGCTAGAACCTTTAACATGTCTTGTTCTATCTGCACCTTCTGTCTTCTTTTCAACTTTAGATGCTCACCTATTTACAGTCTCCCTTTACCGTTTCTATCAACGCATATCAAGATTTATGCTTCTACCTGTCTGCAATGTACCTTAAATGTATAAGTTATTTCATTATTGCAGGTCATTTTCTTTACTGACCCAGTCGATGAATACTTGATGCAATACCTGATGGACTACGAAGACAAGCATTTCCAGAATGTGTCTAAGGAAGGCCTGGAACTTGGGAAGGAGTCCAAGAACAAAGATCTCAAGGATTCTTTCAAGGTTCTTACCAAATGGTGGAAGACTGCTCTTGCCAGTGAAAATGTCGACTCTGTAAAGATCAGCAACCGTTTGGACAACACTCCCTGTGTTGTGGTCACATCTAAATACGGCTGGAGTGCAAATATGGAGAAGATCATGCAGGCACAGACTCTCTCAGACGCGGGCAAGCAAGCTTACATGCGTGGCAAGAGGGTTCTTGAGGTTAACCCAAGGCATCCCATTATAAAGGAACTACGGGAAAGAGTTGCTACAGATCCCGAGGTAATACAAGCAATTTTATTTAGTAATCTGCACAATAGGTGGAGGTGAAAGTGGCTAAAATGTTTTCCTTCTTAAAAAATTTCAGAGTATTTTAGGATTGATTTGATAAAAAATGATTTGAAACAAAAATACACACTTGAATATAGAATTTCAAAAGATGAAATGCTAGTATTACACCTGTGTTAAAGTATGCAACTTCATAATTTCAGAACTAATCAAATATGTATATATTAATCTATTATATTTGGAAGTCATGATCTATTATTTTATGTCTCTTTTGTTTGCAACAATTAAACATCCCGAAGGACTTATGTAATATTTACCTGTAATTTTATTACAGGATGAGAGCTTGAAACAGACGGCCAGACTCATATATCATACAGCATTGATGGAGAGCGGTTTCAACCTGGCTGATCCCAAGGACTTCGCCAATAGCATTTACGGTTCTATCAAGAAGAGTCTTGACATTAGTCCAGAAGCAGCTGTGGAAGAAGAGGAAGAAGCAGAAGAAATTGAGGCTGAGACTGAGGCTGAAGAGAAGAGATCGAATACCATAACTATCGATACAGAGGACATCCAAGAGGCGGCTGAGTTCTCTCTCAAAGATGAATTGTAGAAGAAAATCAGTCTATGTTTCGGAAAAATGGTTGAACGTTTTTATTTTTCTCTTTTTGTGGAGGGTGCTTGATTGCCCCCTCCCTCTCAAGGTAGGAGAAGTTCCCTTTGCCGTCTGATCTCTTTTGTAAGAGTGTGATCGGAATAACTTTTGAGGTATTTGCGGATGATCCTTCTTAACTAATTAAACTTTTAATGAACTTAAAAATTTTCTTGGTTCAGTTTACCTTATTTAACCGTTCTGTTTATCCTGCCACGTTACTACCATGCTCTAATATCACGCCTGTTAGGCTGTTATCTCTTTAGAAGGATAGCTTCATAGTTCATTTACTTTTTCAAGTGCTATCTGAGCTGTTTAATCATTTTTCAGCGTTTTTTTCGAATTTCTAGCCATGCTATATGGTATTTCGAATGGAGAGTTAAAGATTGCAAATATTTCTCTTTTAGCATCTGCTTAATTTTCTCGCAAAAAAAATATATGCAAATTGAATTTATTTTTGGCTTTATACAGTGATAACTGATTTAAGTTTGTTAGATCCATATTATTGGATGTTTTTATGTAACATCAAACGTGTTTATACTTTATACAACGATGAACAATCAATTTACCGTTATATGTTCGCATTCTTTCTCATCTTTTATTCAGGCTTAGTGTTGACCTCTAATTGTCGGCAAAACCCAAACGAAACATCCGCTCCTTCACCGACATACTCACGAAATAAAAATAAAGCCCTGTCGAAAGCAATTAGTATTTAATTTATCTCATATGATTGAGTCTTTTTAAAGTGAATAACCTTTATGTGGATAGGTTGAATAAATCTTACATATTATAATTTCAGAAAATACATATAACAATAGAGCATTTGACATTTAACTATCGTTTGATGTCTTGCAACGAAGGACTTCTCTGAATTCCCTTATAAAAGTTCTTTGGAAAAATCTCATGCTACTACAATACATCATGACTTCTTTGAAAGGGAAATTATAGATAATTGATGATGTTTTCTTGGGGTTATAATGACATATAGAGTAAGTGAACTAGTGGATCGTATCCATTGGGTCACTATATTCCTTTTCTTGTATAGGATTACTCATCCAAGAATTGAAGAATTGCAATATCTTCCTAGTTAAATTGATAATTCTCGAATAGTCATGGATAACCCACGAATAGATCTAATAAAAATTTTTGGCACATACACCACTGAATCTGCAACATGTGTGCAAGCGGACAGAAGGCGTTCGTAGGCCCTTAAATGAAAATTTGAGCATTTCTTAAATAAAATCACTCTCGTAAATGGATCATATTTAAATATTTTAAAATGCCCCTTATGTATTAAATATAATCCCTTAAACTAAATTGCCCTGCATGTGCTCCGGTCAACATGTTAAAAATATAAATACTAATGACCGAGAACGCTGTGCAAGGTCAAATGCTACAACCTGCATGTGCTCCAATCATCACATATGAGTCCAAAATCCAACGATTCGAGAATGTTGCGCGGGTCAAATATTCAAATTTCACCCTCCTCGAAAGGAATGGAGTTGACATGACTTAAATTATGAAATGCCTTCCAATATCCTACGAAAATATAAGTGACTTTGTAGTCACCGCGATGATGGCCGTTTTGATAGAAAATCTCAACCGGAGGGGTCAAATCTCAAATCCAATAAAAATTTAAATTCTTAAAATAAAATCAATCACCTAAAAACTCAAAACTAAAAATCATCCACCTCCCACTCTAAATTCCAAATTTTAAACTTCCAAATTCAAAATTTTAACCCTAAAATTATTGCTATTGTACGATGGGTTTATAACCCATATGACCTCTTTAATGACTAGCCTTAATCGAAAGTTCTCTCTTGTTATCAGGAGGGGTAATTAACTATAGGGTTTTGCGTCTATAGGAAACCAGAACTCAGTTAAAAAAGTCCTCACCAAATGAGAGCAAAATCTCTGGGTAGTGTCTTATCTAAAACCCAATCTGCCTTCTGAAAATTTCCCCGAAATCTAATCTAGTTAAAACTCTCTGTCGTCATCGTCACATAAAACATTTAAAATAAAAATAGATGGATGACACAGAGAGGTCGGGAACATATACACAAAATAGAATTTTTCGGAGCCCACACTTAGATGTATGTGTGGTTCACAATATAAGTAATTCATGTATCTCAAAGGGATTTGAAATAACAAAAACAATTAAATGGATGACCTATATTAATCATCTTGATCATATATATATATTAACATTTGTATGCTTTAACGACTGTAGAATTAAATAATCTTGAGCTCGTTGGATTTATCACATAAAACTTTTTGTTTGGCTATAAGAATAAAATGTTTTGAAAATATTTGATCCTTTAATTAATATCCTGAAATTTTCTTATCTTTTAAAAGCAATATTTTGAGCTCTTAGTTACAAGTTAGCTAATGATTATTATCAACAATATTAATTAACCATTGATATTAGCCTAAAAGATCCTCGCGGACGAATAATAACTGTCGTTATATTCTATTTGCCAGTCGCTTAACGTAGGATTTTTTCATAATTCTTAAAATTTATCTTTTAAAAGCTATGAAAAAAGCGTTTTAAAAAATAAAAATAGAAAAGCTAAAACTGCAAACAAAACTATAATATAAATAGATTTTAAAATCTTTTAAATTTTAAACTATTTGGCTTATTAATTAATTTATTAAAAAACAAATAAATATTAATATATTAATACACTAATTTATTTTATTAATAAAATATTACTTTAATTAATGAGCTATTGATCCAAACCTGCGGGTCGGCTCTGAACATCACCGACTTAAGCCCATTTCCGGCGATCCTCATAATCCCACCGCCGGTCGAATACAGAAGCGGCTTACCGCTGGCGATCTTATTCATATATCGGCTCCGAACATCACCGACTTAAGCCCATTTCCGGCGATCCTCATAATCCCACCGCCGGTCGAATACAAAAGCAGCTTACCGCCGGCGATCTTATTCATATAAAGCGCGAGTCCGTCGGACTCAGCCGCGAGACTGTATCCACCGAGTCGACTCACCAGCTTCTTTCTAACATTAAGCGATTGGCCAACAAGGATGTTTGATATGACTGTTACTATATTTTGAAGTGTAAAATCCAACTGTTTTTTTTTTTTTTTTTTTTTTTGCTTAAAATGTTTTGCTGAGGGAATCTATTTTTTACCCCAAAAAAATTATTAATGTGTTATATATAGCTTTAAAAAGTTCATATTATATTTAAATTAAATATTTATAAAATCTCCAATGTTTTATTTTTTTTTTAAATTTACTTTCCTCTCCACAGCATCACAATAACATCGTTTAAAAAGCTTTTTTTTTTTTGGAAAAAAAAAAAACATTTAAAAAGTTTTGGCTGAGAAAGAAGTTTTAAAATATTTATTTGAGACGCTGCGCTAGCAAGCTAAATTTTAACCATCATCAACACGCAATAATTTAAGAAACTTAAAGAAAAGCAAGTAATGGATTATATATATATATATATATATATACTCACTTAAAGATAACAGCATTAGAGAGAGAGAGAGAGAGAGAGAGAGAGATGTGGAAATAGATTATACTCTTCATAGTGCTAGGAATGAAACCATATATACGCCACTCAGTTGTTATCGGACTAGCTTTTTGGGGCAATGGAATAAAAGAAAAGCTAGACTTTCAATACTCTTCCTTGAATTTAATAATATGTTAATACAAGAGTGATTATATATAAGCAATAGAGTAGAGCATTATAGGAACATGCTACAAAAGAATGTATGCTTAATAATGAGGATATTTTACAATAATAATTATTATAAAATTTTACTATAAATATTAGACACATTCTAATATTGATATGGAAGCAAATAATTCTAATTAACTCTATTAGAAAAGAGATATATATTCTCAATTTTCTTGCTTTGCGAGAAGTTATCTTGGTTTTCTGAAGGAATGAGATAATCTTGATTGGTTGCACCAGGGATGCAAACGAGTCGAGTTGAGCTTAAGTAATGTTTACTCGAGCTTGGCTCATCGGCAAGATCGCGAGCTCGAGCTCTGCTCGTCACGATGGGTGTGATGAGCTTGTGAACAGCTCGTCAGGTAAAAGGCCTATTCCGATTCCACTTTCGTGCTCGCGATTCCACGCAACTGCCCCGTGCTTTTGCGCCCGCTCTTGCACCCGCACTTTTGGTTCTACCTTATGCGCCTGTGCATTCACGGTCGAGCCGCTCAACGAGTAATGGAGCCGGGCTTCCTCTCAATCAAACTCGAGCTCAATAATTTCACGAGCTCTAGCTCGAAAATTTGCTCGAGCTCGAGCAGGCTCGTGAGTCGGCTGACTCGTTTGCACCCCTAGGTCTACGTGCTTGACTCTTCTATTTTACTATCTCCTTATAATCGAATTTAATATCTTAACAAGACGAGCACAATATTCACAGTACAAAGAATCTAATTTGAGCACTAAAAATTATATAATAATAATAATAATAATAATAATAATAATAATAATATAATGAATTACTTAATTTAAATAATATTCTCATATGGCTATAAGACTTGAAAATTTTGTAAATAAATCTAAAACTATTTAATAAATTGCTGCACGCGCATATATCGTTGGAACTAACACGAAGGATTACACTGAATCAACAAAAAGGCCAGTCGAGAGTTTATTTGAACTGCAGAAGTATCACAATAACCAGTCGTAGACAAAAGAACTTCTACAGAAATGTCGATCGAGCAGCAAAACAGCTATCAATATGAATGCCTTCGAGCACATGCAGCAGCCAGCCCTCAGGCGGTAAAATATGTATAAAAATAAAGTAGAAATCAAAGTCATCAGGACAGGAATGGACATTGTTTATCTGGCTCCCTGTACCCAGCTGGCTCTTTAATAGTCTTAACTAATAGGCTAGTTAATTTCTTATGAGATGTAGCCTTCGTTCAGGACGGCTTCTTATGTTTTTAGTGCAAAATTAAAATTATCAAATTGTGGTATATAAATTTGTAGTAGGCGTGTCAAAAAATTGACCCGATCCGTCATTCTGACGTGAAAATTTTGAATTTGAGTTGATTTTAAATTTCATGATCATTGATGATTGTGGCTTTTATTAGGTTCTATCATAACTTGAAAATTATTTTGATCAAGATTTGAATACAATTAATTTGATCAATGCTTGAAAATGGTTCAAATAACATGTAACAAGGTTAGTCAAGATTTGATTTGTA